CAGCCTCGACCTGCAGGGCTCCGGCGATCCTTCCACCTCAGCCTTCCGAGTAGCCAGAATTACAGGCGTGTGCTGCCACGCCCAGCTAATTTTTTGATTTTATTGTAGAGATGTGGTCTTGCCCGCCCAGACGGGTCTCAAACCCGCGGGCTCAGGCAATCCACTCACCTCAGCCTCCCAAAGGCGCGGGATTACAGGCTGAGCCACCGAGCCGGGCATGTACTGTATTTTGACTGTGGTGGTGGATACAAGAATCTACATGTGATAATGATGTAACTATCCACACAGAAGTAACAGGGAATCTGAATGAGATCAATGGAATGTGTCAATGTCAATTACTTGACTATACTGTACTAGTTTTGCAAGGTGTCACCACTGGGGAGATTGGGTAAAGAGCATACAGGATTTTTTTATCTTTATTTTTTTTTTCAGTTGGGGTCTTACTCTGTTTACCAGGCTGGAGTGCAGTGGCACAATCAGGGCTCATCTCAGCCTCCACCACTTGGGTTCAGGTGATCCTTCTACCTCAGCCTCCTGAGCAGCTGGGACTACAGGTGTGCGCCACCATGCCAGGTTACTTTTTTGTTTTGTTTCGTTTTACAAACGAGGTCTCACTATGTTGCTCAGGCTAGTCTCAGATTCCTGGGCTGGTGTGATCTTATTTCCTACAACTTTGTGGGATTCTACAATGGTCTCAAACAATAATCTACAATTCTCTCTTTTTTTCATTTGTGGTGGAAGAATCAGGCAATATTTTACATTATTTTTACAGATAAAGCAAACTATGTACTACTGTTCTGGCAGTTAAAGCATCTACACATAATAAAAGCCAAATTTGCCAGATGCTTCACTGTGCTCAGCACCTCATGAGCCTAATCTCATGTAGTCCAGTCAACAAGGGAGACAGCAGGGAGACCCTATTACTCCCAGCTGGGTCAGAGGAGGGCTGAGGCAAAGAAATGAAATCACTTCCTTGAGCTGCCTCATCAATGACTGGAACCCAACGCCTAACAGGCAAGTAAAGTCCTTCCGGTAATAAAACTACCTCATTCTATTTTTGTTCTGTTCAGGTGTCCTAACCCTAAAAATTAAAAACTGCCACCAAGCACAGAGAACGGGTGCTAATTAAACTGGCACTTGGCCGAGCTCGGAGGCTCAGCCTATAATCCCAGTGCTTTGGGAGGCCGAGGTGACTGGACCGCCTGAGCCCTCGGGTTCGAGGCCCACCTGGGCAACTTGGCGAGACCTTTTTTTTTTGAGTTGGAGTCTCACTC